CTACTGATTTTGCTTAATAAATGAGTCACTCAAAAGTATATCTTTTAAATCTTCTAAAAAATAGATAGGTTCATGCAGAAAGCAGCAGACAGTATTATTAATTTATCTGAAATCTTGTTCAGAAAGTTATTTTTATAGTTCTTCTTGTTCACCCTAGCTTTGCCTGTCAAATGAAGGAATTTGGTCACAAAGTTTGTGTAGTTATCTCTATTTCTTATGTAGAGACACCAGTAGTTTAACTTGGCCTTTTGAATCTTGTTTGAATTCTCATATATACTCATCAAGTGTTCAAAAATCTTATCTGCTATAGTAAATCTTTCTGAATGATTAATTCACATTCAGAAAGTCAGATGTTTTGCAGTATCTTCTGTTGTTCAGCTTTCAATATAGGTAATCTTGCTGTTCTTATTAGTAAAGTGGTCACTATTAATTCATAACTTACTTTTTATTTGGGAGATTGATACTCAAACACAGGGTCTTTCCTATCAGAGAGAGAGTCAGAGTCAGTTATCTTGCTACTCTTTCTTCTACTAATACTTTCAACACTGCCAGCTCAGTTCTGCTTCACCAGATCAATAACTGTCTGCTGGAGATTCTCTTTCTCTATCATCAAGACATTAATCTGTGTATCTAGTTCTTGAACACATTCAAGTGGCTTGTTTCTCTCAGCTTGCAGTCACTGCATGTTGAACCTTCCACTATTTATAGACTGTACTATCTTCATATACACACAGTCAGTATCTTTCTCCAAGACACAGAGAAAGTCTTTCTTTAAGATCATCATTACAGAACCTATATTCTCTGGTTTTCACATCATGAATTCCCAGTCCAATCTCCAGATCTTTCTGTCAGACTTGAAGCTCACCATTCTGGTATTCAGTATTCATTCATCAGTTCATTGGTTCATTTATTTGTTTGCTGGAGACTTTAATCATGAATCTCCAAAGAACTAAAGATGTTGGAGATCTTAGTATTATATTAGAAACTCAGCTAGATGCTATAGAAAGCAATTCTTGTTGCCAACTAGGTAGCTATAATAATGAAATACTAAGACAGGCTCTAGAAAAGGGGCTCAGAGCAAGGGCTTGCTATATACACACAACAAGCTTCCATGTTAGATAAACATTTATCCCCTTAGTGAATCCTCTGCCTAGAGTTTAGGGCCTTGCCCCAGAAGAACCTTTCACCAGTCTGCCAGCTCAGCCAGAAGGGTCGCGGGTCCTCACAGTTATAGATTATGTAGATTTCTTTAGAATTTGAAGTATAAAAGAGCTAAGTAGATTCAATGCCTGCAACTAATAGAAGAGAGTTTTGTGTAGAATATAGAAGTCCTCTAACTAGAAGACTGAATGCTGAGATTTCTATAATATGTGTATATCATGTGTTTCTTATACATTCAGAGTTGAGATCATGTAAGTATCTCTGAACATCCAACATTATCTGATGCTTGGTAGGTCTAGGTCTATATTCATAACAATACAACTACAGATAGAATTACAACAAAAGATATAGTTATAAAAGAAGACAAAATAAATGAAGAACTAGAAGAAGAATAAAGTATTTCTATAATACTTTAAAAACCAGAAGAAACAGTATTGATTAGATAGTTGATAGAAGACATAAGATTAGTCTAAGCAGAAGTTAGTCTGAAAACAAGTAAAAATAGTAAGAAAGATCTACAAGACTGATTTCTATGCTATCTTGAAAAGTTTTGATCTCACTCATCAAACAAGTAGTAAGATAGTTAAGCAAAACTTAGATGTTTTTAATTTTACTTTCAATCTGAGACAGAATAGTACAGACTAAGATTAATAAATAAGAGAACTTAGACAGACTATCTTTAATAAATTCTATTTTAAATACAAGATCCACAGTCTTGACTTCATAATATAAGGTAGAATAATAATGTTCTAAAGAAGATTCTTTAAGAACAGAAGTAATCTGATAATAATAATATTTTGTGGCTTCAAAATCAAGTTTATAAAACTCTTGCACAAGTATGCTCATGCACTTTATATTATAAGAGTGATATAAATTGGCAGTATTGAAATTATAATATTCTTCTCTAAGATATAAGAGCTAACAAATAATATTGACAGCAGACTCTGAAATCTATAGTTATGTCAGACCAACAAGAAGAACAGATAAAGACATACTTATATTATAACAGGTACAGATTTGATATTCTAAGTAATAAGTACAAGATTTCTTCTTGATATCTCATATACATGGTTCAGCTTCATTCAAATAATCTGTAAACATCAAATATATGTAAATAAAGCAGGGAAATGCATTCTCTTTGTTATTCGAAACAAAGTCTCTTGACAAAGATATTATAATAAACTGGAAGCCAAAAAAGGTAATAATACTTATATTCAGATATGATACAAGACAAAGAAAAAGAAGAGAGTGAGAAACTCTCTATTTATACTTACATCACAATGTACTAAAATCACTAGTTCTATAGTTTATTAATAAACAATATGATAGCAGACAACAGACAATATAGCAACCAGACAGGCAAATAAACAAAAAAACAAGCATATAATAAAATACCAGACTTTTGTAATAAAATGATTACTATTCTATAATAAAGAATGTCTACTGCAACCAGCAGTGATACACATGCTAAATATCTATATAGATAAATAGTAGAAATGCAGAAGCTTGAATATTCAAGAATTTATACTATTTTATTAATAACAAAAAGAGTATAATAATAACATACAAAAAACTACTTCAGTAGCTCTATATCTTGAAGTCTGAGGCTTCTGAAGGGGATAGTATTATAAATATAGATCTAGATCAATTAAGCATCAGACAATATTAGATATTCAGACATACTTATATGACCCCAACTCTGAATGTATAAGAAACACATGATTTATATAGATTGTTAGAATCTGAGCATTCAGTCTTCTAGTTAAAGAACCTCTATATTCTACACATGACTTCCTCCCATCAGTTACAGGCATCAGATCTACTTAGTTCTTTCATGACTCAAATTCTGAGAACATCTACGTAACCTATATCTGGTTCTTCTAACAAAATCTCAGAACATTTAAACCAGTTTTAGAGCTACTGATATAGCTTTATTTGAACTAGATCAAGTTCTTCAGCATCTTGATATTCAGCTTCATATATCTAACTTTCCAGCTAGGTAATCTAGCAATTTTCAATTATTCTTGATTTTACAAACATCTAGCAATCCTCATCAATTGCAGCACTAATAGAAGAAGGTTAAGTATCTTGTAGAACAGAGACTTAAAAGTCTTCCTGATCTAGAGAAAGGCCTGGATCTAATTATTAACGCTTGTAAATATAGCATGGTCAATACCACTATTATAAAAAAGTAATATCAAGATATATTTGCTGCAAATAAGAAAGAAAAGCAAAAATACAAGAGATCTACTTACAGAATTTAATATAAAGAAGATCTAACTAGAAAAGAAGCTTAGAATCTTATTATTTCTTCTGCTCAGCCTATTGAACAGCAAGTTATTCAATTCTCCTCATCTCATACCTTAGAGTATATGCTACAGTTATGAGCTCCACCAAAGTGCAGCAATTGTGGTATGCTCAGGCATACAAGACTAAGATGTGCAAAATCTAGTGTAATTTAATTTAATTTAATTATTTGTTGCTAAGCATAGATAATTTCGGTTAAAATCTAGTTGTAGAAATATATTAAATTTGGTGTGCCGCTCGGTGGTGTGAGCCGCTCGGGGGTGAATTACGTTAGCTGCTGACAAAGTGGCTGGGACAGTGGATGACATAATCACTCAACCTGTGTCCTGGCATCTTCTCATGATTTCCATCGCAGAGACTGTTGTTAAATGGCATGGCGAATTATTTTACACAACCTGGCATCCCAATACCAGTCAAATTGACTTTGTTAAGTCTTTGCTAGCAACATCCAATCTTACATTCTGGGATTTTAGCAGCTGTCAATGGATTCTTGATTTTATCCGGAAATTTTTGCAGTCCCAGGCTGGGATAACCCATCAACAGAGTGTTTTGACGCGGCTTAAAGGTGATGTCAAGCTCTCCAGGGATATCATCAAGGCATTCTTGCTGAACCTGAATTCTGAGTTGGATGGTTTGGTACGGCGCGAGGACCTCACAGCTCTGTGTCTATCACAAGCAACAAACCACTTATATCACTTCAATTTCGCGGAAGCACATGAAGAAGTTAGAAAAATTGCGAATTTTCCAAGAACACAGGAATACCTGCCTTGGGACCAAGTACTTTGCGTCGGCCGGATGATGAGAGGAGAGGGAGGGTTTGAGCAAGCAAAGACCTGCTTCATGACCTGCCTCGGAAGTCCAGGACTGCGCAAATCCCAGCGGTTCATTGTTCAGTCAACCCTTGCAGATACTTACTGTGAGTTGGACTATCAAACGGGGAATCGGTCTTTTCTCTCCCAGGCAAAGGAAATCGTGGAACCAGAAACTGAACGGCTGAAAGCGTCGTCTGGTCAGCATTTCAAAGGATTTCGACGCTTACTCCTTTCCCTTACCGAGGTCAAAATCAGGCAAGGCTATTATCGGGATGCTGGCCTGTTAGCCAGGAAGCTAATAGTCATATATGGCAACTTACAAGAGCCAGACATAGTGGATCGGCTTGGTCATGTCAGGGTACGCATTGCCCTCGCACGTCTCTCTCTAACCGCCGAGGATGCATTGGAACGGTGGAACGAGGTCTTGTACTGGAATAGATTCTACAACCCTTTCGAGGAAGAAGTTTTCGCTTGCGGTGTTGCCCACCTTTTCCTTTGTATCACATGGTACAAGCTTGGAGATATCGACAAGAGCACGGATAGCTTCCAGAATGCAGTTCGAGTGATTGAGTGGAAGCAACATCAATTTTTGATCCTGGGGTTGGGTACCTATCTTTTTCATGGTGTGTGCGATCAGATACAGTCTAAGATTGGGTGGTTTGTCACTAGTGAAATATCTACAGTGAACTTGAGAACAAATTGATGAATTTTTTAATGGTTTATCTTGCCCAAATCTCTCGTACCTCAAGCCCCAACAATTGTTGTACTAGATAGTACGTCTAGCTCGGCATATCTCTTTTGGGTTTGGACGAGCGTGATCTCGATCGGCGGTGTTTGGCTGGCAGAACAAGAAGATACTCATGACCATCTAGCAAGTCTCCAAATGGCCACACCCAGGTTTCTTTAACCATTTTCAAAGCCTCTAATGGCTCCTCATGGTCAACAAAAAAACCAGTATTGACTCCGCAAATAAGTCCTGTCGGATCCTCGGGTTCGAAGAGAGAGCCGCACAATTTCGCCTCTCTAACGTAGGATATCGGTGATACTTTCATGATTGCTTCGGCATTTTCCGCAATGAAGTTGAGAGACACTCTTTCAATACTTGCTGCTCAGGATTAGAATTAGATTCTACATTATTGACAAAGGATTGAACATACTTCCAAAAGCTGAAGCAGCCGCCAAGCAAGCTGCAGGGTGAGAGCTCATAATACCATATATGTCGTCCCCATCCGATCGAATGGACCTTAAAAGGCCACCGGCAAGTCCACGCTCACGATAGTCTCTATCTACCACCAACTGAGTGATCCAACAGACATTTTTGCCATCATGTTTCCAGCGGCAGGCGAATGCACTTCCAGCAAGGTTCCCATCAACGGTCACTCTGACATGAAGACTTGCTGAGGCCTCGGGCAAGTATTGTTCTCGCAGTCGGTGCCCACTGAGTTTAACCGGCTTTCCTGGAGGGTGTTAGAGATGAGGTGAGAGACGAGGGGCATATCACTTACCTGGACACCGGGACTGCTTTCCCCAAATTCCGTAATTCTCGCTGAAGAGCTTTGCTGCTTCATCCAGCATAGCATCCGTGATTTGATCAGCAGTGAAGCTCTCATACAGTTGCGTGACCATCCTGACGGAATTTTGTTTGCTGACACCCGAAGAATTCTCAATAATAGCAATGCTGGGTTCTAGAATGAACTTCACACCAGAATGAGCGGAAGCGGCTGAAGACAAAGATGAATTTGAAGGTTCACCCGAGGGAGATGGTGTCTCTTTGGACACACAAAGCTGCTGCCTCTCTGTCATGGCGACCAGTGTTGATGGAGGAAGGAAGCGGGGAATCCGCTGGCATTGCAGCCAATCACTAACTAGTGGTTAGATGGGGGGGGTCTAGTGACCCAGGTTCCTGCCTGGTTACCACCAAACGCCAAATAACCTGTTTGGACCAGGGAGGAGGTAGATTATGTAATCAATACTGCTTCATCAAATCATCAAAACTACCTCATATTGTCAGGAGCAAATTTTTGAAATATCTCCACAACCACCTTCCTATCTGGCTTACACAGTAGCTCAATCTGCTTGCCAGAGCTCAAGGTATCACTCAATATCAAGAAAAGCATAGCAAGCAGCCAAACTGCTTCTCAGAGAGGTCTCCAGCCCAAAAACATCCACAATCATGCAATTTAAATACAAGCAGATATTAAAGCTATTGTTAGGAAAACCAGACTTAGGTTACATGGGTTTTCCCAGGATTTGAGGTACAAAAAAGCTAAGTAGATCCAATGCCTCCAACTGATAAGAGGAAGTCATGCATAGAATATAGAGGTCCCTGTTATGAATCTTGTGGCACGGCAGCCAAAGATACAAGATGATTGGATGGAACCTGACAAGGTGGAGTCATAGACTGTTGTGGAGAAACCTTAAGATGGAAAGTCATGTGATCAGGAAGTGATATGAGTGAGATGGGATATAAGAAAGGGACTATCATATATTGTGATACTACAACACAAGCAATCTGGAAGGAAGTATTGTAAGTATCATCAGGAGAGCATCATGTATATAAGAATACTCATTACCAGAGATCTGATGGACTTGTTCATCATGATTAATCTTCTTACCTATCTTACAGATACCTTTGAATCACATACTTTCATATCTTGGTTACTTTCCATACCACTGAAGTCTTGTGATACTGTATGATTGTACCTGATCCTGCTACTCTTGAGAAGGCATGATAGCCTTGCCCTGATTCTGATATACCTGTACAGAAACTCTTTGTCATCAGAGCAAGACTGGCCACTCAACTGGAGCACTATTGAATTATTGATCACTACCTCCAATCTGTTGTTGTTCTCTTTGAGCTCTTTGATACTCTCAAGATCTCAAAGGATCCAGGGAGGTTCCCAGTCACAAAAAACCTACACAACAGTCCCCCAACTAGAGGATTGAATACTGAGATTTCCACAATTCATGTGAATTATATAATTCTTATATATTCAGAGTTGGAGATCATCTAAGTTTTTCTGAATATTCAACATTATCTGATGCTTGATTGATCTGAGCCTATATTTATAATATTATCTCTCTCTTCCAGAGATCTCAGATTTTAAGATATAGAGCTACTGAAGTAGTTTTTCATATATTATTATTATGGCTTCTTTGTTATTACTGAAGTATTATAGATTCTTGAATATGTAAGCTCCTGCATTTCTACTGCTTATCTATATAAATATTCTGTATATATATTATCATCAGTTGCAGTAGACATTCTTTATTATAGAATATTAATTATTTTATTATAAAAGTTCAGTATTTTGTCATGTACTTATTTCTTTATTTATTAACTTGTCTGATTGCTATATTATTTATTGTCTATTGTTATGTTATTTACTAATAAATTATAGAACTAGCAACTTTAGTATATTGCAGTGCAGATATAAATAAAGACTTTCTTACTTTTATTTTTTTTTTCTTCTACTACATCTTGTATACAAGTATTATTATTTTCTTTAGTTTCTTGTTTATTATTATATTTTTATTAAAAAATCCTGTTCCTAACTCTAAGAAGAACATATTTTCTTACTTTGTCTGCATATATTTAATATTTACAGATTATCTAGACAAGAAAGAACTTTGTATATAGAATATTAAGAAGAAATTCTCTATTTATTATTTAGAGCATTAAACTCATACTTATTATATTATAAGTGCATCTTTATTTATTCTTTCTTGTTATTCTAATATAGCTATAGATTCTAGAGTCTATTGTTAATATTATTTATAGACTTTTATATCTTTGTAAAGAATATTATACTTTTAATGCTGCTGATTCATGTTACTCTTATAATATAAAATATATGAGTATACTTGTACAAGAGTTTTATAGACTTAACTCTAGAGCTGCAAAATATTATTATTATTAAGCAACTTTTGTTCTTAAAGAATCTTCTTCAAAACATTGTTATTCTATCTTATATTATAAAGTCAAGACTGTGAATCTTGTATCAGAAATCAAATCTATTAAAAACAATTTATCTGAATTTCTTTATTTATTAATCTTAGTTTGTACTGTTGTGAGGATTGTACATGTAGATCAGTGTGACAATGAATCTCTAGAAGAAATATACATGGAAAAGAGTATGCAAGGTAAAAGATCTGTATTCTGGCAACTATGTATAACTTGTAAACAAGATTGCCACTAGCTTTCAGCAAGAAATTTGTGGAGTGATGATCTTTTATGTGTGCTTGTGAGCATATAACTTAGTGTCTTGTGAGAACACATGCAACTCTCAGCAGCTCACAAGCTGAGCTCTCTGACTCTTGCAGGTGCTGTTTGTCTGTGTAAGAGGTTTGTGACAAATTCTTACAGATTTCTCTCTCTTGTAAGCCTTGGTCTCTTAAGACAGCTGTCTCATTAAAAACCTTCATGAGTAGAAAAACAAAAAACCTCTTGGGAAAAATAAAAATTTCCTTATAAGAAAAAGAGTACAGCCTCACTAGAGATGTGATATCAACACAACTCTAATAATACAACAGAACCCAATAACACAACAATGTGTAGAGAGTCTCTATTGTTCTCACTAGCTCTATATCACTATTAGATAATGAATACTAGCTTAAGAGAGAGCTTTCTCTTGCTTTCTCTTTCTCTTCTTTTCTTCTCTTTTTTCTCTAGCCTATATCACTATTACCAAGGTAAGTGAACCCTTCAAGTACTGCTTCGCGTGGGATTTGGTTCGCGGAGAGGCTGATGCTTGCTAGCAGTTGCTGCTGGTATGCAGTCTTCTCCCTCTCACTCTTGTGACTCATCTCTGCTTTTCTTTCTCAGGAGAACCCCCAACCCCTCTTTCACAGATAAGATTGAGCCTTCAGTAAGTAGTCACAAGAAGTTTGAGAAGTATTTGTGACTGATAGTTCTAGAGTATTGTTGTTCTCTCTTCTTTCTCTTTATCAGTTGTTACTATCTTCTCTATGCTAGCTCAAGCTGTAAGTACTTCTTACAAGCTGATATTGATTTATATGCTGATAAAGTTAGGGTTCTGCTACTCTATCTTTCTCTCTCACAGTTGTTGCTCCAGTCCTGGCCAGAAATGTAAGTATTCTCTATTATATTTTAGTTTGTGGCTAATCTTCTTTAGATTGTTGTTGTTGTTCTCCCTGCATCAGCAGAGTTTGTGAGTATCATGATTTTACAGAGTGCTTGAAATTATTCAGTACTTCTCTCACAAGATTAACAATAATGATTCCAGACCATCTTCACTCAAATATCACCAGCTGCTACTTTTACTGATGTATTATAGGCTAATCCAGTGATTCTCTCAGATCTCTCTTTCTATACAGAGGTACAAGCTTTGTCTGTCTACAAAAAAGTATAATGTTGTGAGTCTATTCAAAGATCTGTGCTTATTGCTGGTTTGAATAATCTAAATTAGTTAGCTGTGCACACTCAGCTCTGCAAGAAAATTCTCATGACTTGAGCTAGGGCCCAGCCATTATCTGAACAGAAGTACTCTGCCTGCAAGAGAGCTCAGCAAGACTATAATAATATAGTTTTTATAGAGTGCATCTCTGTAAGCTTGAGTCAAAAATATAACAACTGTCTATATTATAGGCACCTTGCTTACTCTTTCCAGCAGTGAGATTATAGATAGTTGTTACAGATCTTTATAAGAGAAGCTGGAGACTCTAATTATATAGTCTTAGTTTAGTTTTTTCTTCTTTTGTTTTGAAATCAATTGAATTCAGTTTAGTTTAACTATGCTTTTTCTCTCTCTAACCCATTTTCTAGTTCCACTACCTCCATTCATCTCTTTCACAAACCAGGCTTGTCCAGGTTCCTACTATGGAATTGTTGGAGTAGCTTTCTCAGTGGACAGACATTGCTCACAGGTAATCTGTGCAATCTCACTATCTTGTAAATAAAGAGATGGGCCAATTTCTCTGATGTCAGCTTCTTTGTTGTAGAGATAAATTGAGTCATCTTTGTGAACTGGTCCACTACAATCAGAATACAGTCAAACTGCACCTTTTCAAAATTCAGGCTTGTGGGGAGATCTGTAATAACATCCATGCTAATGGATTCTCAAGAGTAATTTGAGATTAATAAGAATGATAGTTCTTTTTGGAGCTTTCTGTAAACTCTTCTTGAGCTCTAGCAGACTCTACAGACTTTGCAACACTTCTTCACCAGTTCTCTCATTCTTCACCAAAAGTATTTGTGAGCTATAAGCTCATACATTCTTGCTGTAGCAAAATGCCCTGTGAAGGATAGATCATGATAATATCTAATCAGCTTTATTTGCAGAGTCTTATTCTGAGAAATGTACATACAACTATCTCTATAAAGAATACTCTTCTTCTCTTTCCACATCATAAATTTCTTTGAGCCTGCCTTAATGTCTTTGCAGACCTCAGTTGCATAGTCATCACTTTGCAGTAGATTTAATAGTGATGCCAACAGATTGAAGCTGCTCTTTTTATAAGAATTCTTTTTGTGAATCAGATCTTTGATCTTCTGAATCTGCATTGCAATCTTCTTCACTTTACACATGTCTCTCAAGACAACCTTTGCAAGTAGTTTCTTGATCTCAACTCAAAGCTTTGTGAAGATGAGTTATGCATTCTCATCTTCTCTCTTCTCTCTCTAATTAAGAAAAACTTGAGCTATTAGTTCCAACTTTTCTGTGGTCTCTTGCTTCTTCACAAGCATTACTCTTAGTTAATTTGCAGTCTCATAATTCTTCTTATTATCTAGTTCAGTCTTCTTGACATAGTCAGGTCTTTGCAAGAGTCTATCTACTGGGTTC